AGAAGCACAGGCGCTAACAGCAGCTAAAAAAAAAAAACTTAAATAAATAAATGCTGTTCAGCATTTAAAAAGTAAAAAGACATAGCTTTGGAAATTATGGAAACCGAAACTGCATATGGGGTTTTCACAATGAAAAATTAGAGAGAACATGGGCCTATTAAGATATGATAATAAGGCCTAGTAATATCTTACAAAAAGAAAAACACCAAATAAATAGGGAATAATTGAGGGATGGAGAGCAGCCAAATTCTGAACACTTTAGGTGACTATAAACTCGGTTAAATCTCTAACTGTAACCACACTCATATAAAAATGAATTTTCAAATCTAAAATAAAATTGTTTTTTTGTGCCACCTGTTTTTTATTTTCGAAATAACAGCTTAATGCAGGGAAATTCTGACGTACTCGTATACTTTAGCCTAAAAACATAACGAGGCAAAATATTAAGTTTCTATTGTAACAGAAAAGTGTAGCAATTCGACATTAGTATTTTCAAGTATAAAGAAGAAGTAAAATAGAAAAAAATATTTCACTTACCAGGACCGTGAGGGTCAACGGTATAAAAACTCCTAACATCTTCTCCGCTATAACTATAAAAAAAGAAGAAAGAAAACCAGTTAGACAAAAAACATCATAAGCAGTTTTTGGAATTATAGTCAAATGTTGTTATAATGTGGTTCAAATATTAGATCACCAAAAAGCACAAGTGGCAGACCCGTACGTAACACATACCATGCTGTGTCTTATACATCACATGACTGGACCGGTACCTATTTTACTGTACTTGCTAATACGCCTTATTATGTCCTAATCATAATATGATATTTGACACACACAAAAAAAAAACAATTACATAATATTGAATAGTTATTTTGTTTATATTTTATTAATATATATATATATATTGAATAGCTTGAACTTTTAAATGTTTCCGCTTCAACTCTTACTTTTAATACAAACTGCATCAAGTACAAGTTAAAAAGAAAGAAATTTGTTCGGTTAATCTATCGGTTTCCACAACCTGTTTGATTTTTTAGACGACGTGTTACAACGTACCAGACTTTAGTGTATGAAGACTATCGTTAATCTGCTTCTGGCGCTGGATTGTATCATGTTCAATCGGTCTGAAAAACCTAGTCCCACTTGACATTGTTTTCATGTTAAGCATGTGCAAATCAAACAGTTCTATTTATTGGCCTAGAAATCAATTAATGTTAACACGTGACGGTGAAACTAAGAAAAACCAGATATTTCAATGAATAGTTTGTTTTTAATTATTGTTTTAATTATGACGTTTACTTAGTATTATGAATTCAATAAATGACTTTAAGGTGACAACTAGGATTGACAATGGATTCTTTATTAAATTCTTGTTAATGCTTGTTCTATATTAAGTTCATTATTGTTTTACAGTGCTGATTTTAATCGCCTATTAATTAAGAATCAAAGTAATTAATAGTATTGAAGCTACTTATTTCATTATATGTATATATATACACTTTTCAGTACTAAATTAAACCTGGACTGTGCATTGTCTAATGGTTAGAGATTCGAGCTACAGTTGAAGAGTCCAAGGTTCGAGATGTGGTACCGCTTAACACGCACGACACTTTCAGGTGAGTGCGATGTAAGTGTGACAGTCGATTCCATTATTCGGTTCAAAGAGCCGGAAAAAGCCCTTAAGGCAGCGGGTGCTGCTTGCTGGTTGGATGACGTTTTACTGGTCAGTATTTCAAAATTACGAAGCAACTATGAATCCCAGGGTTCACTGACCTGATCTGTTCGCATAAGGTGCTAGCCGCACTTCGTGAGAAATTATTATTTTTATGGTCAGAGTAGAATTGGTAGTTCTATACAATCTAATTACTACAGATTTTAGTAGTTTTGTGCGTTGCTTTACAACAATAAACATTTGTAGTCAATTTGTTATAAAGTATTACCTTCATTTATTAATTAGTTATTTTTTAATTATTTTAGGTCTTAAATTCAATTTAATTTCAGTTGAATGTCCAGCTTCATTTATCAGAATCAATGTAATGAATAATGGCAAACTTTTTGTCTGCTTACAATATGGCTCGTACGATAAAATTATTCAAACATATTTTAATACTGATTTCTAGTCCTAAGCGGAAGCAAAGTTTGTTCTATTTACCATTCGTTTACCGTAATGTGGGAGGCTAGGCCTCCTACATGGTTTTATATATATATAGGAGAACGGCTCGTACCAGTTGCCGTAATTCCAACAATAAATCAGTATCCAACTACAAATGAATTAATTTTCTCTAGCACAGAACACTAATTTTTCCATAAAAGGATACGCCTTCTTATAACAATGTATAACCCAATTTAAATGTTAATATTAAGCTCATACTTTTTTGTGTTTCTAATACTTTTCTACAATATGTAGTACTTCGGACACTGTTTAAAAACTTGTGTCCAGGACAACTGATAAAAATTCTGTTTTAAACACAGTTAATATGTATATATATATATATATATACACAGTTTTCTCAAGAACATTTTATGCAGTTTTGTTTGTTATAGATAAGTGTTAAATTTTCTCTACCCTGTAGTGTTTTAACAATTGTTAAAACGTTTGTGATGCTTCAAAGCAGTTATTAAATTTTTCGCAGTGTTTCAGAGACAACTATTAAAAAAGATTGTTACATTTTCAAGTTAATTGGTGAAATTTCTGTAATGCTCTTAAGACAATTGCTCAGACCTGATTTGTCATGGACTATCACTGCAGACTTAACATTTGCTATCAGTATCATTAGTTACTCTTACACTAAAATGCTCTGTATTTTAATCACTGTTTAATAGACACACAGCTTGGTCCTTACCTGCTTTGACTACTAACCGAAAGACTGGTTTATGGACTGCTCCAATGCTACTACACAAGTAGAGATCAGATAGTCAAGAAAGATGTAAACTTCGTTTTTCGCATACTTACTAAATTCCTCAGCAGTTCTAGAACTAAAACATTAAGTCAATCAACTCACAGCCATCAAAGTCAAAGAGTGGGAGGATGTGCCCACCAGTAACCGATCGACCTATAGAAACTTTTCCGCTTTCCTGCCCACCTGGATATCTTTCGAGTAACTAAGGTAGGTTTGACCTACAGCCTCGAACTGCCGCTTCCCAAATCCCATTCGAGACCAGGCTTTCAGTGAGACTTTTAGGTATGGATTATCATCCTAATGTCGTTAAAATCGGTTTTTAAATATTTGGATGTTTTAGTCTGTCCAAGTTGGCATCGACGCGAATGAAAGATAGACACATAGCTATTAACTTTTTTTTTTCATTAACCTCTAGAAAATTCCAGTTCTTAAGTTGCAAATCCCCCCCCCCCCACGTAGCACAGCAGTATGTACTGTTTTCTTAAAATGTTCTAACATGTAAAAACACATAAATCATTTTGGCCAATAGGTTAAGTCTTAGTGATATATATATATACATGTAATTTGCATTATCTAAGTAACCAGGTTATAATAAACGTATTATTATTAGCGATAATGTGTTATTTTAGTGGGCCTTACTATAACGTCTTAAATAAACGTAGACATAAACGTACTCCGTGTCTTAAGTAATACCAATATATATATTAAACATATATTCTACATTAAACTATTAAAGGTTCTTGGGTATGGCCCAGATCTTCAGAATACTTAAATGTAGTTAGATAATACATAGAAAATGGTCACATTAATGTGGCCAGTAGGTGCGAAATTCTAGAAAATTTTATGCCTGCATAGCGAATGACGCACAGAAATTCCACCCGCCATCCACGTGAAGCCTACGTAATAAATGCCTCGCCTAGTTGCGGGTACGTTTTCTAGTAACGTTCAAGCACATCATAAGCTAACAAAATAGTGAATTAGACTAATTACAATGCAAATAAGATAAAAAGTTCAGTAGCCAATAATTAATTACGCCAAATAACATAAAAAACACACGATGTCAGGCAAGAGAATAACGAATTAATCTGAATATGATAAAAGCGTCATAACGAATTTAAGTAAATATTTAAAATATGTCAAAAGTAATGAAATAGTGATTTACACTAAAAATATTAAAAAGTAAGCCTAAACAGCCGATCTCGGCAAACAACATTGAAACTTGCAACAATCTTGGTTACCAAGCGATGTGTTGTATGTCAGTCATAGAAAAAAGCAAAGGGGCGGAGTCTGTATTCTTTACAAAATGATTGGTGGATTTTAAAACAATATTTTACACCAATTATTATTACATAACTATGGCCCACTTCAACTTTAAATTCACATCTAGATAATATGAGCTCGTACTTTTGATAGGGTAATATCAATAACAAATTTCGGTCATAAATTTTCATCCCGAGGTTACATGACCTGTTTACTCTGAATGACTTGGCAGATGTCTTCAGGAACTTTTGTAAGTACAGGTGTAACGGGTCACTGTTGGTGCTCGTTTTCAAACTAGTTGGATAACGGGAAGCCGTCAAGTAATACGAAATGCCCAAGGGGAAAAGATGTCGGCACAGTGCCAAATATGTGGCTGTTTACAGTTTCTTGATAATCCAAGCCTATTGCTAAGGTAAACCCCTGAGAACATTAAAAATATATCTTATCTGTGTTTTTGAAGCTCCAACAAGTATTTCTTTAGGGCAACTTGAAATATTTGTTTTAAATTTTTGGACTGTGGCAAGATGGCGTTCGATAATGGAGGTTCTGCATCACTGACCTAATATAATAAAACAACTAGAAATACAATGTTCAGGAAAATGCGCCGTTAAAAATTTGAATCTTGAGTTTTACATGCGTAAGGAATTACGTAATTTCCGGTAGAAAAAATCAAATAAGTAAGCCAAAAATATTTCGCTTCCCTGTTCAGAATGCTACAGAAGTTTCTCAATTACACGCGCAGTCACCATTGTATATAATTTGGAGAAGAAGAAAAATGTGACAAATAGCTAAACTGAAAGTTTCGAGTTGCATATAAACAGCAATATATATTCAAAATATGTTTTATTTTATAAGTAGGCTTACAATTGAAAAGATATTCGACAAGGAAAATCTTCACGAATTCTAGTACCAATAAAAATAGTCCGTTTCTTTAAAGGCTATAAAAGATTCCTTTTCTTTCTTTTTTTTAAATTCAAAACAAGGAATTCTTGTAAAATCGATGGTACTTAACACCAGTAGAATAACGTTAAATAGCTGTTATATGTTTGATCAATCTGATGTAAATGTTGAATAGCTTAAACATATTGTTGTAAGTTATGTTTTAAGACATTTTTAGGTTCTTAGTTTAGACTTTAGAGGGAGTTTTTTACGTCACTGGTGAGCGTGTGGCTTAATGACCATAATTCTTAAAATGTACGAAACTATTTCAACAATATAAAAACGTGAGTTCATTATTGCTAATTTGTGATTCTGGTATAGTGGTGGATTGATTACTAACTTAACAAGTTTGTTAGTCAGTTTGTTTATTACTTCAGTTTTTTGAATATTGAGTTTGTGTTTTAACAATCTATGTGCGGTAAAACAAACTTACAAAGTGCAATGTATACGAGAGAGAATTAGCAAGTGAAATTGTTCTATAACTGTATAAG